ATGACACCGTGACGAAGTGGTCCGTCCCGTGCCAGGCTCAGGCTTAGCAAAGCGCAGGTACGGAAAGTATGGGTATCGATTGTGCGTTGTAGAAGAACCAGCTTCTCGAAGGGGAGGTCATTATGTGTCAATAAGTGCTCAAAACTTCGATTTCCCCAAAACGCTAGCGACTGGCGCTGATCGATGATCAATATAGTTGTGTTCGCTATGGACGCTGGGGCGTGTCAGGGGTTGGGAGGGCTGGGTTATGCGCAACGCCAGCCAGTTTCCGCCACATGTAGTCGTCTTTCAGCTTCCACAATTGGTAGAGGAAGGGCTGGCGCATTGCCAAATCCAGCCTCCTTGACACCCCCGGAATTCGCAGTTGCTTGAAGCGTCGATCCTCACGGGTAGCAAAGTACGAACGCACCTCAACAGATTCTGTCGCGCAGACGCGTGCCCTCACCGCCACATAGCTATAGCGGCATTGAAAAGAATGTCAACTCAGCACCCATAATGTGTTTGAGGAGTACAAGGCTAGATTTACGTCTACAACCGCCGTTGCTAACCATATTTTATTTTTTCCTCTTTGCTTTTACTTCATTTTTTTATCGATTCATTTTCTAGGTACGGAATTCATGGTCCATTTCTAATTGTTGTCCCTCTCTCCACAATACACAACTGGGTTAGAGAGTTCGAGACGTGGACAGATATGAATGCTGTGGTCTATCATGGAAGTCAACATAGTCGAGATGTTATCCAGCAGTATGAAATTTATTACGCTAAGCAGCATTCTGGTGGCAATAAGGTTTGTTTCTTTCTTAAACATTCTTTACTGGCCATATTTAGTGCTGATTTTCGTGGAATTTTCAGTTCTCAATAAACACTTTCAGTCGTGGCGAAAAAATTTGGTGAAGCTGGATGCGTTGATTACCACCTTTGAGATGGTTGTGACAGACTGCGAGTTCTTGCGAAAAATCCCCTTCAGAGTATGTGTCATTGATGAGGCTCATCGTCTTAAGAATAGGAATTGCAAGTTGTTGACCGGAGGTAAGTTTTGTTATTTTTTTTATTCGTCTATCATCCTTTTGTTGTCCTTTTTTGAATATTGTTCACTTTTACTGTTTCAGGATTACATGCTTTCCGCATGGAACATCGTGTTTTACTCACTGGAACACCTCTTCAAAATAATATCGAAGAGCTGTTCTCTTTACTCAATTTCTTGCATCCCCAACAGTTCAGCAGTTCAGGTATTGTTTTTATTTTATGATTGGTTTACATTATTTTGATGGTCTAGAAAATATTTAAAACGTACTGGGACAGTGACATTTCACGTTTGCTTTCTTAGCGGCGTTCTTGGAACAGTTTGGCCAATGTCAGTCTGATGAACAAGTACAAAAGTTACAAGAGATACTGAAACCGATGATGCTTCGACGACTTAAAGAAGATGTTGAGAAGTCGCTCCAGCCTAAAGAAGAAACAATCATTGAGGTAAGTTCATAAGCTCGTTGTGTCTAATCAGGGCACGTCCTGCGTTGCTTCCCCCTCCCCCTCCCCTTCCACTAGATAACAATTTTTTCGGAAGAAAAAACTGGAGAGATCCATCGCTGGCTGCGTTTATACTCTGCGAAAATGAAGTAGTGACTGGTTCGCAAATTGCGGAATTAGAAGAATCGAAGAAAGCAAGGGATGTATACGTAGTGATCTAATTCTAATTGGGCACGTCTTACGTTGCTTCCCCCTTCCTTTCCCCCTCCCTTCCTTTCATCACTCGAGAGCAATTTTTTTGAAAAAAAAAAAAATGAAGAGTTCGAAAAAAAAAACCAACAAAAAGATAGGAAGATGGGGAAATTTATGAGAAAGGGATGTA